TTTTTTTTTTTTACTTGGTTTGTAAAAAAAAAATCTCTCGCGGTTTCTGACACGTAAATTTTGAATTTGCCGCGTTTTTTTAAAAAAAATTTAACGTGGCACTTGCTGAGTCAGTATTACCACGTTTGAAGAATTGATGGAGAAAACCGAAAAATCGTTGAAGAAAATTCTTGGGAACTGTTGGATAAGTCTAAGAAAGTTTCGGAAAATCCAAGAAAAGTTTCCCGAAAACTCTTTTAGAGAATTTTGGAAAATAATTCAAGAACTGCTGGAAAATTCTGAAGAATTTCGAATTTCTAGAGAATTCCAGGATAGGAACCAGGAATAAATATTTCGAAAAAAATCTCCAGCACACATACTCGACAAATTCGTCGTGACTGAAAATTTATAATAATAATAATAATAAACTTATCATTTTCTCTTTTCTCAAGTCGGGCAAGATAACGTTTTAAAAGTTGCTTCCACGTTTTTTTTAAAAAAATAATCACTTCCGTAAATAACAAAAAAAAAAAAAAAATCAAACTTTCTTTTATTACACAAATCGTTTGTTGATTCGTTCATCTTTTCGAACGAAATGTTGTTCTCTTTATTCCTCTTTACGCATTACCTACGGCAATAGCCCCTCTCTCTCTCTCTTACATTCACCCTCGCGAACGTTCGCGTACGATGACGTCATCACAAAAAATAAATTAATAATCTGAATGAGAAAATGGCGCCATTTTGAATATTTACATCACTGCCTCCGCGTTTTCTTTTCTTTTTTTTCGTTATCAAACGTTTCTATCGATTTTTAACGGTCGTTTTCATTTCGAACGTTTTTTTTTCGAACTGTTTAAAAATTTTCTAGAATTTTACGTAATGGTGTCATAGTAATAATAATAATAATAATAATGCGAATTCGTACTTTTGACTCTCAAATAAAAAAAATTTCATATTAATTTGATGGTAATGACGTCACGTGTTTTTATGGCGATGACGGTTAAATAATTACGGCTAATTATTAATGAATAAAATTAACAAACGCATTTAATGATTGATTGTTGTCGTTGTCGTTTTATTCGGTCGCCGCCATTTTAATAAAATTACAAAATGTCCGACCGCGACCTTTCATTTCGCGACCTTTTAATTAAATATTATCGTGTTTGTGTACGTAATGATGATTATAATATATACGTATTCGTCGTTACTCTCGTTTGAAAACGGCAAAAAAAAAAAGCAGACGATAATTTTTTTTTTTCATAAACGCGCCACGAAGACAAAAAAAATATTTTTATTTATGTTGTAACAAGTAAAATAATTTCGTGGGCGCCTACGAGGTCTTTTCTTTTCTTTTTTTTTATACAAAAGTCACGACGACGTTTTTCGCATATAAAAATCTATTTAATGTCACGTTCATTATTATCATTATCATTATATTCATTTTGCGGGCTGAGGGGGGTGGAGGGGAGAAACAAAAATCAATAATAATAATAATAATAATAAAATCGAATCAACACGCGAAAAAAAAATTTTTTTTTTATTTTTTTTATTTTTTCGTTTTGAAAATCTTACGTAATAATAATAATAATAATGATGATGGCGATGGTGTTGTTGATAATAATAATAATAATAACTCAAATTATTTATTAATACTCGAACTAACCTAATTTGTGGGCAAAGAAAAAAAGAAAAAAAAAAGACGGACGTGGAATTTTTTTTTTTTTGGAGTTTGTTCAGTCGAGTGTTAAAATGATTGATTCGTATTAAATTTATTAATTTTTTTTTTTTGGGGGGAGGGGAAAGGAACGCGCATTTCCAGCGGTCGGTTTTTACTAAAAAAAAATTCTCCAGTAGAATTAATTGAAAGAGAAAGAGAGAGAGAATGAGAATGAGAGAAAGAGAGAGAGGGAGAGAATGAGAATGAGAGAAAGAGAGAGAGTGAGAGAATGAGAGAAAGAGGGGGAGAGAGAATGAGAGAAAGTATTAATTTGTTTGTGACGTCATAATTAAAATCCAAATTTTTTGAGGTATTCATTTGTAATAGGAGACAGTTAGGGAAAGGAAAGAGAGGAGAGGAAGGGAGAGGGGGGTTTTTAGGTACGTGACGTTTTCACGAGGTCAGGTTCAATACGTAAATTTTTTTTTAAAAAGAAAAGAAATATTTGGAGTAATAGGAATAACAGTAAAATCGGGAATTTAATGTCACCGACGCAACTGGTTGGTTACCCGAATATAACAACTCGTTAATATATATAAATTTTTTATGTATCAACGGGTATCACACGCTATACTCGTAATAATAATAATAATAATAATAATAATAATAATAATAATAATAATAATAATAATAATAATAAAATTAAAATCGTGATTTTAGAATGAATAAAATAAAAATTAATCAAGTTTTTTTTTTTTTTCACATGGAATTTTATATGTGTACACAAATCAAAAATAAAAAAAAAAAAAATTATATTTCGTTTTCGTGTGTCACTTTTCTTATTTATTTTTTTTTTCGGGGGGAGGGGGGTAAATTTGTTGTTTTGGTTGTTGTTGTTGTGGTTGTTGTAGTTGAACCGTCGTATTTTTTTTCCTCGTATTTTGTCACTCACAGAAAAAAATAAAAAAAAAGGACATGAAAAAATTTCATAAACTATTTTATTATTTCCGTTAAATTTAAACGTGGCATTTGACGTGGCATTAGAACTCTATTAATTTCTTCGAGTTTCCCTCCTCCTCTTCCCTCCCTCCCTCCCTTCGTCTTCTTCACGATTTAAAAATTCTCACGTTTTACCAATTTATTTATTTATTTATTTATTTAAACGACATTATTTAATTTTTTTATTAATGACCGATCGTATTTGACGCACCTACGATCGTACCTGTAACCCTACCTCCTACCTCCCCCCTCCCCCTCTCTCTCTCCCCGTCCAAAAAAAAAATTATCAAAATCCGATTTAAAGCTTAAAAAAAAAAAAAAAGAAGGAAAGAAAAAAAGTAGATTAAAACGAATAATAAATATTTTTTTTGTGTCTCCTGTGATAATATCACGGTCACATATTTATTGTTATTATTACCATCATCATCATCATCATCATCATCATCATTATTATTATTATTATTAATCTTACTTATTCGTACGTGTTTGTATTTGTATATATTTTTTTGTTTGTTTGTTTGTTTGCTTGCCTTAAAAATGATTGGATTTTTACGTGTTTTTAACGACAATAATTAATAAGAATTTATTTATTTAAGGGAAATCTTTTTTTTTTTTTCTTTAAATTTACGGATTTTCATTTTTAAAATAATGATAATAATAATGATAATAATGATAATAATAATGATGATGAATATCATGAGGGTAATTAACGGCTGGAAAACAATCAGGAGGAGGAGCGAAACAGAGCAGAGGAGTTTTTAAATACATCCGGAATATTCTAAAAGTTTCGAATCCCTAAAATATCATCATTATTATCATCATCATCATCATCATCATCATCATTATTATTATTATTATTATTATTATTATTATTATTATTTTACGCAAAAACCTAACGAAAATTTCGGTTATGTCTTCATCTGTTCGATTACAATTTAAAATTCTTTGAATTTGTGGGGAAAAAAAATAGAAAAAATCGCAAAATTTGTTTTTGAAAAATAAATAATAATAATAATAATAATTCAAAAGGAAAAAAAAAACGCACGCACGCGTTTTCACGCATATATACTAACAATGCAAATATTTATGGGAGAGGAAAAAAGGTGACTTTATATTAATAAAAATCTCGTAACGTACATTATTTACGGCACGTTATTTGTTGTAAAGGATTAAATTCGTGGCAGAAAAATTTCATTATTATTATTATTATTATTATTATCTTATATTAAAATCAAAGAGGAAAAAAACGTATTTAATATTACGGTAATAACTATTTAAAAAAAAAAAACAATTTTTTATTTGAAATTATTACTTACGCTCCTGATTTTTCTCATTTTTTTTTTCGTCGTGGTTGTTGTTGTTGTTGTTGCTTCCACGTGTAACGCGATATTATAAGAAAGACAGAAAAAAAGAAAGAGATAGATATATATAAATATAATATTTAAAATGTTAATGTTATTAGTATTAATAGTAAGTTGTTGAAGTTTTATTATCATCGTCTTTGTCATAAATGAAAATTTAATGGCGTCCGTAATAAATTATTTATTAAAAGAAAAAAAAAAAAAAAACGTTAATTTTTTATTTTTTTTTTTTTCAGGTACTCCGAATGCCTGCGTGAGAGTGGGTGCGTGCGCGTGTGCGCGTGAAAAACGCCGATAAAAATGGCACAAGTTCCAATACCTTTGAAAACATTATCGAATTCGTCGTCGTCGTCGTCGTCGTCGTCACCGCCGCCTCCGCTTCCACCCCCGCAATCCGTTAGAAGATCCCCGATGATATGCCCGTTGGCAAAACTCGGTAGATCTTCTCCGACGACAATGGAAAATCTAAGAAATTACAGATCCCCGTCGGCGGATATCGGTTACAGGAGAAGTCCTTTGGATCCCTCCGTGTATTCTTATCTGAGAGGAATTCCTAGTCCGTTAGAACCTTCCATATACGTAAATCAATCCCCGTTGAGAGAATCTCATTGTTACCGCACCGCGAGTTCACCGAGAAGTAACGAAGAAAATGAAAATTATAAAAATCGTAAAAATCAAAGGAATGTTATTAATAATACGAACATTAGCGAAACTAGTTTTCAAAATTATCATACGGATAATAATGATAATTATTACGGTAATAAAAATTCATCAAATAATTATCATCCGTTGATGAAAGGATCGTCGTCATCGTCGGGACCGGAAAGTAGAAACGGGGAAAGTAGTAGTCAATCTTTGCCGCAATCGTCGTATAGGCCTCCGTCGGTCGTAGTGGATCCCGCGAACGTATATCACCAAAGGATGATGATGAGAACGACGAAAACGTCAAACAATGATAAGGTGTTGTCGAGAGATGCGAGAGTTGTGGGATCTCACAACAACGTGGATCCTTCCTATTACCTACAGTTGTTAGCCAATCAAAAGAAACACGATATTATGCGAAGTTCACCGCTGAGAAGAATATCATCGCCCACGATCGATCATTCTTCTTTGCTTTATCAGCAGACCACCGACCTCGATGCAAGTTACAAAATGGGTAGAACGAGTCCTTCTCTCGATCAAGGCTACCACACTCTCGTATCACCGAGTCCAGGTCCGTCAACTCCGGGTCCTTGGGCCGATTATAATAATCCGCTTTCCGTTGTTTCGATGACGGCAACGGCGACGACGCCTACGGTGAAGATGACGTCATCGTCGGGAAAGGGTAAAAAACTTTCTAGCAAATGTTTTTCATATCCGTCCAATTTCGATAGACTCCCGGATGAATCTGTGATAAAAATATTTTCATGGTTGGATTCTAGTGATTTGTGCATATGCGCAAGAGTTTGCAAAAGATGGAAATCCCTAGTTTGGGAACCGCAATTGTGGAAAATAATTAAATTATCCGGTGAAAATGTGTCCGGTGATAACGCGGTGAGAAGTGTTTTGAGAAGGTTATGCGGTCAAAATACGACAGGAGCGTGTCCAACGGTTGAAAAAGTACTTTTAAGCGACGGTGCCAGAATAACCGATAAAGGCCTTATGCAGTTATCCAGAAGGTGTACGGAACTTACTCATTTACAACTCCACGGGTGTTCTGCCGTTACCAATAATGCTATCTTTGAACTTGTTACTAAATGCACGAATCTGCAGCACCTTGACCTCACCGGTAAGTCTCTTTTTTTTTTTTTCTTATTATTATTATTATTATTATTATTTAAATTCTTCTTCGTTCTTTCTCTCTCCTTCTCTTTCTCTTTTTCTAATTTCGAAACGCGTTCGTATACCTCTCGCCGAGAAATGTTAAATATTATAATAATTTCGTAATTTTTAAATATTCGGTGTGTATAGTACCGTACCGTTGGCAGCACTGCCTAAAAAATTTTCTCATAAAAACAAACGTTTTTTTATATTTAGCTTATGTGATAAGTTTTTTCATTAACAACCAACCGATTAATGTTTATTTTGTCGTCTGCTAATAAATATCCCCGTGATTATCTCGGTAATTAAAACGTTCCTATTCGCAAACGCTTTAAACACATAAAAATAAATTGATTTAGTAATAATATTAATTATAATGATAAGTTTTAAAAATTAATTTCTTTTGCAAAGAGAAAACGTGGAAAAACAGTGTGTGAATAGAAAGAGAGAGAGAGAGAGAGAGACAGAAAGAGAGAGAGAGAAAATGAGAAAAAGAGAGACAGAATAAGAGAGAGAGAGAGAGAAAAAGAGGGAACAGAGGAAAGAGAGAGAAAAAGAAAGAATAAAAGAAAATTGGGAAAAGAGAGAGAGAGAGAGGAACAGAAAGAAAATTTAAAAAAGAGAGAGACAGAGAGGCAGTAAGAACATGGGAAAAAGAGAGAGAGAGAAAAAGAAAGAAAGAAGATAGGGAAAAGTGAGAAAGAGAGAGAGAGAAAGAAAGAAAGAAAATTGGGAAAAGAGAGAAAGAGAGAGAGAGAGAAGAAGGGAAAAGAAGAGAGAGGGGGAGAGAGAGAGAAATAGTTATTATAAACATATTTAATAATTTTTAAAATTATTATTTCTTCGCTTAATATTTATTACGTCTGCTGCCATTTTTTTTTTTTTTTTTTTGTTAACAAGGTTTTAGTTTCATACATTAAAAAAAATAAATAAATAAATAAATTCTCCGTGTGTTTTTTGTAATCATTTGCAATAATAATAATAATAATAACAATTTCAATTTCACGTTCTTTAATAAGATGATAAAAAAAAATAATTTTCATTATTACGTCTTGTTTTTTTTTTTTTTTTTTTTGATTTTGTTTTTATTTTTTTATTTTTTTCTATTATGGTATGCGTGTCGCGTCTTAAAAAAAAAACGATGGCAAAAATTTTTTAAATGTCGTAAAAAAATAAAGAATTATTATTATTATTTAACAAACTAAATGAAAAATGGCGAGCAGCGTTTTTCTTTTCAATTTATTAATAATAATAATAATAATAAGTTCTTAAACACGAAAAAAACTCGTAAAAAAAAAAAAAAGAAAAAATTTTAAAATTATTTTTTTATATAAATTAAACCTTTGTTTTCTTTTTTTATTTAATTAAAAAAAAAGGGTGATTGTTGTTGTTTGGTTGTTGTTGTTGTTGTTGTTATGTTTTTCACATAAGAAAAGTTAAAACTCGTAAGATTTTATAATTGGCAGTTTTTTTTTTTTTTCTCGAAATTTTTTATGTTGGCCTGGAAGCTTTTTTTTTCTTCTTTTTTATTAATATTAGACTTTTAAAAATATTATTATTATTATTATTATTATTATTATTATTATTATTATTATTATTATTATTATTATTATTTTCGTTACGATGATTAATGCCTGCCTTCACTTAAACTCTTAATTTTTTTTTTTTTTCGTTTTATTTAACAACAACAACAACAACAACAACCAAACAACAACAAACGAATCGAAAATTATATCGTTTTAAACAAACAAACAAGCACGCACGCACGCGCGGGAAACTTAAAAAAAAATTGAGCGTTAATGTCATAGAGTAAATAATTATTATTATTTACTCTATGAAAAATTATTTAAAAACGAAAATTTTTATTTATTTAATAATAATAATAATTTCGCGATAGGGTTTTTATTTTAGAAAAAAAAAAAAATAGAGAGAAAAATCAAATCATAGAGTAAGAAAACAGTTTTGTTTTGGTTTCGTAATGGCGGCGTCGGCGGCGTCGTCTCTCGAGTGAATTATTTAACCTTTTTCGATAAGAAAGAAACGAAATCAAAAAAAAGAAAAAAAATTAAAAGTCACGATGAATATTAAATTCTTTTCGGAAGTGACCATCACTAGCTAAGGCGGTGGTCTCAACAAAAAAAAAAAAAAAAAAATTTTCGACTCATTAAATAATCCGGGAATAAAAAGAAAAAAAAGAAAAACGCGAAATAAAAAAAGAATTATTATTATTATTATCATTTCGGTTGTTGTTGTTGTCGTTGTTGTTGTTGTTGTCGTCGTCGTCGTCGTCGTCGTAATTAAAACAAAACGATTCGATATAATTTTTTTTTTTTAAATTCATAAATTTTACCCGATTGTTAGTTACATACTTTATTTAAAAACGTGGTTTTAGACGCAAGCATTTGTTTAAGTAATAATAATAATAATAATAATAATAATAAAATCCCGTTGTTTTTTGTTTACGTGCACGAAAGGAAAAAATGTCGTCTTCGTCTTCGTCGTCGTTGTATTTAACGTAAAAATTATTTTAAATAAAAAAAAAGATAAATCAAAATTTAAAAAGAAAAAAAATGGCGGAATTATCATCATCATCATCGTTTTTATTAACTTTATAAATTAAATTTATTATTATTATTATTATTATTATTATTATTATTATTGCTGTTTTTTAAATTTTAAATATGAGAAATTTAATATAAAACGATTAGTTAACACGACGTGGTCGTGGTGGTAGAAATTAATTAAAAACGAATTACCCTTTTATTTAAAAAAAATTTAAACTTTGACAGTGTGTGTGTGTGTGTGTGTGTGTGTGTGTGTGTGTGACGTGGCAGGAGTCGCACATATATTTATAAATTTTTATTGTATTTAATATTTACGCGCGAAACCAACGGGATTTCGAGAAAAAAAGTAATTTTTTATTTAACCTTTCGCTTAATAAATCATAATAATAAACGTGGAAATAGAAAAGAAAGAAAAAATTTCTTTTTTTTTTTTTTTAATATTTTTAAATTAAAATTTTGAAAATTTATTTATTTATTTATTAATTTATTATTAATAAAAAACGCCATCTTTTTTTTTTTTAATTTCAACCTGTCGTGATGAAAAAATAATGATGATGATAATGATAATACACGTGGAAGGAAGGATTTTTTCGTTTGATTTCCGGTCAGGTTAGACCTATCCAATCGTAGAAATTTTTTTTTTTTTTTTTTTAAATCCCAACGTGGAAGAAGAAAAATTTCAAACACCATGGTATATTTACCTTATCGGGAATTTAAACTCGCGACAGGTACTCGACAACCACAACAACAACAAAAACAAAAATGCCGGAATAAAGGTTACGAAAAGACAAAAAACGTGAAAAGTAGGAAAAAGTCAGCAGGAGGTCAAAGACCAGAAAATCAAGTAGTTGTTAATGCGGTTTTTCTTTTTTTCTTTTAATGAAATTGTCATGAATTCATTTAAACGTTTTGTCGTCTTTAAAATTTTTTAATTGGAAAATAAAAATAATAATAATAATGATGATGATGATGATGATGATGATGATATAACGATAATACGAATCGTGGTTTTAGAAAAAAGAAAAAAAAAATTTATTTAATTTTAATTGACGCTCGTTTTCTCACAGAGAAATTTTATTTTAAATAATTGTAAGATATTCATTTTTTTTTCTCTTCTGTTTTTTTATATATGTACGTATGAGTGTCTCTCTCTGTGTGCGTGTGTGAGTCTTTCTCTCTCTCTCTTAGTGTGTGTGTGTGAGTGTCTCTCTTTCTCTGTGTATGAGTCTCTGTTTCTCTCTCTCTCTCTCTGTATGAATGTGTCTTTCTTTTTCTCTCTCTCTCTCTCTGTATGAGTGTTTTTCTTTCTCTCTCAGCGTGTGTGAGTGTGCCTTTTCTCCTTCATTCGCTATCCCAATTTGTTCCTTTCTGCCTTTTTTTGTATCTCTTTCCGTCTCGCCCTCTCTCTCTCTCTCTCTGTTTTTCTTTACATCTTCCTCTCTTTCCTTCTCTCAATGCTTTTCTCTACATTATTCTCTTATAGTCTCTTTCTCTCTTTCTCTCTCTCTCTCTCTCTCTCTCTCTTCCCATCTATGTTTTTCTGTACATCTTTGTTTTTTAGTCTACATCCTTCTCTCTCTCTCTCTCTCTCTCTCTCTCTCTCTATTTCTTGTTTTATAGGATTGCTGTTTGTTTTTGTTATTGTTACCGTTTAGATTTTTTTAAAAATTTTGCTTTGTCCCCTTTTGACCTTTTCTAAAATAACTGAAAAAACCGACAGAAAAGAGTCGAGAAAAGAAATAATAATAATAATAATTGTAATTGCATGAATTTTATTTCTCGAACGGATCCGGTAGTCGTGGATAAAATGGCGGTACTTTATCGAAATTTAAAAAAAAAAAAAAAAAAAAAACATTTTAATTATTAAAAGAAAATTAACGAAAAAAATACATATATAAATAAATACACGCATACGCACGCGGACACGTACGCAAAATTCACGCATATATGATGATGATGATGCGTTTAATTATTTAATTTGTAAAGCGAGAGAGAGGGAGCAAAACCAGTTCCTAGTGAATTTTTTTCTTTTACTTTTTTTTTTTTGACAGAAATTTAAATTAAACAAACGAATTTCAGGTACAAAAAAACAAAAAATTATTATTCGTACCTGTTAATATTACAACAACAACCTTCTCCATTGGTTAAACACGACAAAAAAAAAACGTAATTTTTTATATTTGTTACTTTTAGCTATTACGATAATATCTTTTTAAGTTTTTTTCTGTTACCTTTCGTTAATTTATTATTATCATCATCATCATCATCATCAAATTCGCATATTTACTCGTTAAAA